TGGGCACTGGCAGTGGGATGCTCTGGGTGGGTGACACACAGCAGGGAGCACAGGGGAGGGCTGAAATGTATCTGGTTTGCTTTTGTTTTTTTAAACAAGAGCAAAGAGGTCTGCACTGTCAAAGGCCTTTTTCTGACTGGGGAACCAAAGCAGACAACTTCTTGCCTTTCATCAACACACCGAACCGGCAGTCTCTGGAGTCAGTCGGTCTGACTGATCCTCGAGGGGAGACAGCCAGGAGCCCAAGAGGGACAGCAGCCTTGGTGGGACAGCCTAAGCGTCCGGTAAACAGCCCTGAGACAGACAGCTTCAGACACACGGCTGGGGATATCCATAGGCTACCAAGTTCTCATTTTGGTCTGGATCGGCTTTATTCAGTCCTCACTAAAGCATCTTTTTCTGTAAGTTTTTCCAAAGGTGTGTAAGCCACCCAGTGCATCCCTCTGCCTGCGATATGGGTGCTGGGACCGTACGTGCAGCCCTCCTCTGCTGCGGCAACATTTGTCCTTCCCCACCAGGCTCTCGTGGGAAAGATTGTTTTTATTAGTTTTCTGATAATAGCTGGCACTACAGAGAAATACGGACTTGCTGTCGCAGTCTCAGAGCCTGAACAACATCATACGAATGAAGGACAGAAAAAGCAACGTGAATCACTGAGTGACTGGAGAGTTCAGCGTGCCTATCACTTCATTTTCAAGGAGGGCTTTGTTATTGCAAAAACACGTGTAAAGACTCATACAGCAGCTCAGTAATGCTGCTGTCACAGCAAATTCATTTTCTGCAGAAGAGAGGAAGAGAACAGCAGAGTTATATATACACTTGCAACCAAATCTGCCCCTGGTTATTGCTTCTGCCTTAGCAAGAGCTGACATCCTGCCTGCTAAGAATATTATCAGAACAACGACATGGAGAATATTGCTGTTGAACAGCCTATTTTCAGCCAGCTTCACGGGGAGGGCATTTTATAAACAACGTGTTGGGGCTTTGACAGAATTAAATACAAATAACCTGAACTTTCCATTGACACCAATTTTAAGATTAAAATTCCTGAGCGCCAGCTCCCTGACATGGATGTTGGCCAGGCAGTTCTCCCGCTTCCCACCGAGTCCAGAGCCCCTTCCCCGCTACCCACGGCCCTGCGTGCAGCCGAAGAGCCCTGCAAAGCCGTCAATGCCAACAGCTTCCAGCTCTGGCTAAGGGGATACGGCATCGTTGTCCTAACCCAGACCTGAATTCACACGGACAGTAACAGGGTTTGGAGCTTAGCCAGTTAATATTCTAATTGTTTTACGCTAAGCTTCCAATTCTTCATTGTTAGCTCAAAAGGCCCTCAAAGACTAAGACACCAGCATTTCTGCCTCTTTGGTAAAGAGCTGGGAAGCACACACCGCCGCTTCACGAGCACCGAGAGCTACACAACCATTGCACTAGCAGCTAGAACTTCCGATACTCGAGAGCGATAAGTACTTCACAAAGATTACTTTTAAAATTATAATCCTTTTTTAGGAAAAAAAAAAACCACCCACCACCACAGAAAAACCAAATCCACACCCCCTCCCCCCCATTTTCAACAGGTCAAATCCAAATTACTGTGCCAGCGCAGTGAAGCTCAAATGACTCACCCGACTGAACCAGGACACGGCGCTGTGAGATATAATTGTTTTACCTTATCTGTGCCTGTTCCCTAACTCGGAAAGAACGAGAAGCCCACGATAAGCGAATTCAGCATTATTCATAAATTCAGGATACAGCTGTATATTATGGTAAACTCCACAGCACCAAAATTTCACGGAGATTACTACAAGGAGCAGATCTGCTCTGTGAGAAGTGGGTTCAGTCTCGGGTGTTAAGTGAAGCGATGGATAATACTCTTTGTGAGCATCTCCCTCATTTTGGAGAACACGGTGAGATTTCCTCTCGGAGTTCGAGAGCGTGTATGGAGATCTGCATTCATACCGTAAGGCACTCGGAGGAGAAAAAACACTCTCTGTATCCTGGTGACAGTCTCTGCATGTTTTCTAAAGCATTATTTTAATAAAAAGGTCAGGTCTATCACATGGCGTACAAATTCTGCAGTGTTTAAATACATGTTTTGAAATAAGCACGGAAATAAAAGGTGTCACCTCCTCTTAGTCCTCTTTGAACATACATTATAATGACAAGGTATCTCACCTGTCTCCTGTTATAAAATTATCATTTACATACAGAATCTGTTTATTCATTTAATTATCTCTTTAAAACCTGGATTTAACCATCCAGATAAAAATCACTTGTTTACTGTATAAAATCCCAGTGGAATTTCGCCTGAGGACTGCGGGTTGGACTCTTCAGACTCTCTCTGCTTTAATTGGTATGCATTTTATAGTACTAATTTCACTGAAACTTGTGTAAAGCTAAGCCAATCAGTGGCTTGCAAGAAATTAGTTATCCAAACTTCGTAATTCATACACTTTTAACTGTGTTTGTTTAATTATTGAGAATGACAGTTTCTGTTGGAGAACAAAGCAAGTAAAGCGACTCAGAGAACGGAACATTGCAGCACCATTTCCAAAAATTTAGTAAAAGTTACCAAAACTAAGTATATGATCTTAATTTAGCAAAAGACTCAAGAAATCATTATACAAATTCATTTTATGATTACATTCTACTTGTCTTTAATTTTCACTGTTCAACATTAACATTAAACATCGTAAATGTATGCAATATTTATATAAAATTAAATAACAATATTGGAAAAATAAATACACTTTTACATAAATACATAAATCCATACCGCTGAAAAGTTTCAGCTAATACTATACTCTTGTTTCAAAAGTGACCAAAAAAATATGTTAGTGACACTCCATCCCAACAGATGAAGTATGTACAGCTACAGAATGATGTTTGCAACCGATGACAGAGCTAAAGCAAATCCAGGTGATACCACAGTGAAGAAAAAAAAAAAAAATTTGGATGTTACTACCTACAGTAGTAGCACGAGGTAGACATACACGTGGAGTATTTTGCGGGAGGGACACGAGGCTCTGTTGACCCCATAGATACAATTCAGTCTTCAAACAGCTCTGGGGTCCCCTAGGTCAGAGCCAAAGGACACCTCTGTAAAAAGACCTGAAAAATCAAGTCATTTTGTGGCTCTGCAGCCCCTTCACTGGCGGGAGGCCAGGGGGCTGTGAGCCCCGCGGGCAGCTGCAGGAGATGCCATAGGGCATGATAGGATGCCCCTGCCCTCTGCCTGTTTGCCTGACATCCCACCCGCTCCCAGGAGACCGAGCAAGGACAACCCACCAAGGGTAATACGACTTAGTAGAGTCAAGGGAATTTTTCCTGGGTGAAAAAAAAACCAAAACAAAACCAAAAAAAACAACCAAAAACCCACCCCAAACCAAAACGCAGGACTGCACCCTGCCTTTCCAACGCAGGGGCGCAGACGCGGCCCCGCAGCCTGCTCCTCAACAGCTGGGGAGAGGCTGAACGCTGAGCGCCACCAAAATGCAACACAACTCTGCCCACACCTTTGGTTCTTGCCAACGGGCCGGCACAAAGGTTGGCAGCGACTCCCAGCCGGTGGCACCGTGCCGGGAAGGCACCGCGCGGACTGCCAGCTCTGCTTAGCTCACCTCGCTCATTTTTAGCACCAACTATATCAGCGTACAAGTGATCCATTAGCACCTCAAACGAAATATTTCGTATCACTGTCCCTTGTACTGGTGAAGCACCGTATAAACGCCAGTTCAGCAGTTTTATGGCTATTGCATAACTCACTGAGGTATGGTAAAAATATCGAAGGCATCCGCGTCACTGAAAGCACCCGCAGAAACCAGAGTGCGGTTACAAGATGACTTTTCAAACCGCGACAATGATGGAAATCTGATACATTACAAACAGGCCTCTCTTTTTCTTTTCCTATAAAGTGCTTTTGAGTCAGATTAATATTATTTTTTTGTTTTGTTTTAAATCGTCTTCAAATGCTTTTATAACAAAATACAGAATAAAGGTCAACATTTGTTTGAAGGCCACTCCAAAACTGGCAGGTCTGTGGTTTCCAGCGTGCCAGAAGCACCCCAGGCGATGCTCGCCTTGGCAGAAGGTGCTGCTCTGGGCAGGGAGAGTTTCAAATCCGTGGGACCCAAAAACATCATCCCAGCCCCCTGGCTCAAGGCGGCTGTGCCATCGCAAGAGCATCTCTGCAGCAGACTCCTCCAGTGGCGAAGGAGCAGTGTAAACCAATTCTGCTCCAAACGCTGTTTCGTTATTAGAAAACTCCCAGCGTTTTAAGCCTTCCACCACCTCGCTGATGCCTTGCTGACTTAACGGTATTTAGAGCAGCAGCTGGAGATCAGGCCAGACAATAACTCTCCAGAACCAGAGCGCTGCAGGAAAATAGCTTACGGGTGCCTTTGCACAGTACAACACGCTCATATTATATATACACGGGAACAGAAATAGAGCATTCACACGGGCGTGAAGGCACACGTGTTTCTATATAGCTGTGTGCGGGGGCCGGTAGGGAGACGCACACACATCTATACACACTGGCACACGCTTGGGAGTTGATGCAATTTAGTACATGTTTTCCCCCGTCGTCTCGCTCTTGGCAGAGAACGGGCGACTGGTAAACCAGTGGGTGCACAGTGCAGTGTTACCATTAAACATCAGAACAATTTAACTTCAATGGAAATGTACTGCTTAAATGTCAGGTTTAAATCCGTATGCAAAGAACTCAGTCAGAACCAAGACTCGTAATGCTCAGCGCTCGCAGAGTGTAATAAAACGGACAAAAGTGGCTGCTTAGCAGAAAGTGCCTTTTAAATTAAAGGACTCGAGCTCCCCTAATGTAAGCCCTTCCTGAACAGGTGTTATTCTGAATATACTGTCAATAATCCTCTTTAAGTGCAGTTTTAAGACACGAAGCATTAGCACCTTGGTTTGAAGCAAATTAAATCTGTTGTTACGGGATATCCACAAAACGGTTCACAAAGAGAAAGAGTTTATGGCCGTACCGAGCTCCAAGGACCAGCGCTCCAGGCAGCATCTCTAGGACAGTCCTGCACATTGCACTGCTCTCTGTCCGGTGGCTTGTCAAGGATTTCACAGCTCAGATCCGTAAACCTTTCTCCATTAGGGCGCTGGCACACCACCAGCCGTGTTCTTGTCCCTGCCCCGCATGGCTTCGTGCACTGGAAGTCAGCAGAGGACAGAGCAATCACCGTCTGGGCAGCGAAAATACTGCCGACCGGTCGCTCGAAGCACTAGCACCTCTCGAGACCCGACGGTTGTTTCTGTTCCCAACCAACCCACTCCGGCCAAATCCCCCCCAAACGCTGCACGAGCCTCAGACGGGGCATCAGCTGCTTCAGCTTCTCTCTTCCCAAAGCCGTTCAACGCTGCTTCACAAGGATATTGCCAGACCCAATGCGATACTGGAGGTTAACGTCTCTAATTGCTCGTCTCAGATGAATTTTCAGAATGGAGCAGTGTTTTTATTATAAGAAAAGGCCTTCAGTTAAACTAGACTTCTCTTAAAAAGAAAAAAAATAACTCAATTTTTGTAGAATTTGCTTTTGCCTGGGAAGAAAATTTTCCCCATGACAAATGGAAAGGAAAACACCACCAAGCAGTTGCTAGGGTTCGCTCGTTTATCAGAGGCTGCCTTTCATGCTCCGATCTTTCTAATAAATGTCACCGCAATATCCCTCTCCCATTTCTCAACCACCTGCTAATGAAAGCCTTTCCCTGCGCAGGGAGCCCAGGATGAACGGTGCACTCACCTCTCCCCAGTTACCATAAGCCCACTGAGGACAGGGGCCAGATTCGCACGATCTCTGCTCCATGGGTTTGCTTTTCTCATCACAGTTATTTGCGGTGTATCCGTTTTCATCCTGGCACACCACGACCCGCCGCTGGAACCCCCCCGCACACGTGCTAGAGCACTGCAAGACACAATTGCCCACAGCTTCGTTGAGTCCAGGAATAATTTTGCATTCCCAGCTCCTTTCCAGTGCCTTGCACCGTGGGAATGCACAGCTAAGAAATTTAATACAGCTAACAGGCATTATTAACTTCAAAACCCAGCTATTACTAATAGCAGGGCAATGACTCAGGTGTTGACTAAGCAAAGAAAATAAACATGAGCCCAGTTCTAAGCAGGTGAGTAATCCCCATTGCCCTTAATGCAGTGTTTGACATCCCATTTGTGCTTAATTCCCTTTAGGAACTTCCATGATAATGCATTGCAAACTGGTTGGGGTGAGAGGAGCTGGCATCAAATCTCTGCTGTGCTTTGGCAACAGCTCTGCACAGCTGTAAATGTCCCAGGAGATGGCCAAGAAGCAGAGGTTGGCCTTTACATCATGGAAAATGATGCCGTCGGCATTCTGCCTGGAAAGCCTTGGAGATACGAAGTGTGAGAGGCTGAGAAGCGATGCCTGCGCCCTACTGCAACGCTCGCTCGTGTGAGCAGAGAGCAGAACGAGGGGAGAGAAGGGTCTCTCTTTCCCCTGAGTGGTGACGTTAAGAAAAACCTGGATTGGGCCAGGGAGAATAAAAAAAAAAAACCAAACCCAACAAAAACCAAACCAGGAATAAGAAAATCAGGGAACTTACAGCACCCCAGGGGCCAATCCTCCACTGATTGCCTCCCGGTATGTGTGCACGGTTGCGGTTCGGGTTGCCCCCGGGGTGCAGTTTCAGGCGATGATCCGGATAGAGGAAAGGGTGGATGGGCCTGCCGTAGTCATGGCTGTTTGGATGACAAGGAGACATGGAGCAGTCTTGCTCGGTGGCAGGGAGGTCGTCTGGATCGCACTCGCTCCTATCCACCAGCTGGTCACTGTAATTGATGCAGATCACTTGTCGCGTTGCCTTACCTTGACCACAAGTCACCGAGCACTGCATTACAGTGGGAAAAGGAGACACAGTCACATTTCCAGCTTTAAAAATCAGGCAGACAGCTATTGCTAATAACGAACAGCAGAAAACCTTAATCTCCCCAGTCATAAAAGGGCAAGCGTGACAGATTAACAAAACACATTTCCAGCAACGAGGTCTATAAGGTTCTCCTGCAAGGGACAGCGTGATGCTTACAGAGCTCCACTCCAAGGCCTTCCACTGCCCGCAGGGCGTCACGGTGCACATTTCTGTGGCTGACGGCTTTGGCAGGTGGAAACAAGCTGACTCGTCGGCCACCGAGCCCTGGTCATCCCGACAGCTGACGTATCTCATCCGGGTACCCTTCCCGCACGTTGCAGAGCACTAGGGAAGAGCAACAAGCACTCCACTAGAAAGTTTCCCGATTTATATTACAAGGGCTTTAGAACAAAAAGTTGGTCAAATGCACTTTAAAATATCCCATTGTCTACTCTAAAATAATCCTGGAAGTATTATGATACACACTTACCGGTGTCCAGGATCCAAATCTCCACTGAGTCCTGTGAATGCCTGATACAGATCTCTTGGCTTCGGGACTATTCGGATGGGGAGGACACGCTGCTATTTCACAGTCCTGAAATACATGAGGGAAAAGAAGGAAATAAAGAATTTGCAGATGTTTCAGTTAAACCACCTCCTCTTCAATGTAATTATCAACCACCGACATCATCTTGAAAATCTGTGACCTGCATGCTCGTGTGTTGGCAGGCTTTCTCCTTGTGTCCTCTTGGTGAATCAGCAAAATTTGGTACCAATACCCCAAGGGCTTCATAAGCAGAACCCCGGTGGACTTTAGACTTCTTTGGAACTCTACAGTGGGGATCCCCATAACCTTGTGCCATCTCCATGCATTAGAACCAGATGTTTTTGAGGCAAAAGATGAAAGTTCATTAAGAGAGTTCTGGTATGAACACACATCTGCAAAGCAGCAACTTTATCTCCCTTCAAAGCTCCCCTTCCTTCAGTGCGAGACCTACAGCCCACTTAACAAAGGTTATGCTGTTGAGCTGATTGCAGCCCTTTGATTCCCTCCAGCCCATCAGACCACCTATACCCATGTGCTGATCTCCGACACACGCTAAGCTTGGAAGTTTTGGGGACAGGCGTGTCGTTCTGCTCAGCCTTGGTACGGTGCGTAACAGGAGGGCTCTGGTCCTGTCTGGACCTCCTGGGAGGTCTGGCAACAGAAATGATGAATAGCCATGACTTTACTGCATGAGCCTACGAGTAGTCATTGCCAAAAAGGAAATTAATACTGATCGTCACTGCGAGGGAGAGAGCGGCTCTTGACAAATGGCACAAGTGATTTCCGCATTGCTGTGATTTCACTTACACTGAAGAGGTACATGCCAAGCGATGCCTGATGACAAGTGGGTTTGTTTCCCCTTGACTATAGTGCAGTTGGTCTCCATACATGGGAAAAAGCCCCTTTCCTAAATGTTGTGGCCTTAGTTAAACTCTGTGAAGTCATGCAGGACTGAAGCTGGGCAGGGCATCAGCGCTACAACTCTCCTAGATGACAGATAGATGGTAATGTTCTGTTTTATTCAATTCCTTCACATGCCCTGGACACATCCTCTGCTTGAAACGGGAACTTACGCGTTTGCTTCCAAGTACCAGCGAATACAGCATGGAAAGCCTCTTCAGCAAATTTGCACAGGGTGTGCAGCATTTCTCAATTTATCCGGCCGGGGGGGATGCATCTGGAATTGTAGCTGGCGCGTACACTATATCGTCACGTGCAGCAGACGAGAAATGATGGCCCCTAGTTGTCATTTGTACCACACAGCAACGGTCCTGCAGCCAAGTGAGCCCAGACTGCAGCCAGGCATCCCAGACGCCGTGCAAGCCAAAGAAATTGTATTTTTCTACTCTCCGGTTGCCTTCCAATGTTTATCTACTACTGCTTCTTCAGCTTACGAGCTCTTAGAGGACCGAGATACTGCTCTGTGTGGGCTGGCATCTGGGAAAAGCATTTGCTGCAGCAAGACATCCCCTGAAGCTGCATCCTGAATGCCTCCATACCCACGCTGGCAAAAGATGAAGACAGGACGGGAGGATTTACCTGGGTATCTGTTGGCCTGGTTGCAGCATTACACTCGTTATCATCCACCACTGACATGTAGGTGCCCACGACACACTTCACCGCTCTCATCTGGTAGCCTTGGCCACAGGTCATTGTGCACTGGGAGAGAACAGACAGGAGAAAGACGTGCTGGGTCTGAGTAGCTGCTGCCCTTAGAAAGTATTAATCAGCCCAGCCTGTGTTGAGGCACTCAGCATGAGCAGCAAAAATAAAACCCAGCTTCCCTTCTGGTTTCTCTCCACTTCATGCATTTCAGCTCTAAATTAAGCCAAAGTTTTAATTCACTGCACCCACCAGAGCCTCACACGCTTCACTTGCTTCCTCAGGAACGAAGGTGCAAGCATTTAGATGATTTACTTTGCTGCACACAGTCTGGTAAATCACAGTCTGGTAGAACCTGCATCATACCCTCCCTTAAAACAGGTTGTTCAGCCCCATGGTAGCACAAGCAGCTAATGAATAATTTTGCTGATGGGAAGTAAGTCTGACTGGGACAACTGATCTGGGTTTGTTGCTGTTTTTTAAAGTGAAGAGCTAACAGCTTTGTGGAAAAGGAGATGCCAGAACACTCTGGGAGAAATGAGCAACTTGTATTTTAACAGAAAAAAAACCTCACCAACCCAGAAACTGGAAAACATTAAAAGCAACAACAGCTATTCAACGGGAGCAGCTTTTCTGTGAGAATTAGGCCGTGTATTTACACATAAATATGGATATGTGGATATGTGCCTAAATATGGATTTAGGAGCGTAACCTTGGAAACCCCTTTTTAGAAAATCACGGCCAATTTAGAACGACACAGATTAAATTTAGCACAAAGGGCAGGTACTGTTATTGCTGCCCATCCGCTGAACCCGAGCGAACAGAGGGCTGCTTTGGCGTGCAAATCAATTAACGCAGTGATGCCGCCGAACTTGGCTGAAAGGGTAGCACCCAGCCTCGGCCCCCAGCACCCGCTGGCTGGGAGCCCCGTGGCAGCTTTGCGGTACCTGGCCCCACGGCCCCACTTGCCACGAAGCACACTCCTGCTGCTGGCACGTCTGCACCGACTCCGGCTTCGTTTCGGGATCGCAAAACCTGTCGTTCAATCGATCTTCTCCAAACTGGCACCAGGTCTGGCGGTGTTTGTGCCCTTTTCCGCAGGTGACCAGGCACTGCCAGGAGAAAAGCGCGAAGCTCAGGTGGTGCCGGGGATGCGCTGCCGGCTCAGCACCGGCCCCGGCGCTGAAAAATAAACCTGGAGACCCGCTGCAACCGCTGCCTAAAAACCAGTGCCGAGAGGCGGCTCTTTAGCTAACGACCACGTGTGCAGGAGCATCTTGCAGTGAGATGGGATTGCTCCCAGGAGCAGAGGCTGGAGGAGAGTGGGGAGCACAGCCGGGGTGGCACCCGTCAGCACGGACAAAGCGAGCCCATGAAGGCTCTTTACTTCCAGCAGCTGTAAGACATAGGGCAAAGCCACATCACTGCCCGACGGGGCTTTAGCTGTGCACAAGAGGGTGCCGAAGGCTGGCTCTGAGCGTGCACGTTAAGGGTCTCGGCTCCTGCAGGATGCGAGCACCTCTTCCACCACCCCGACGTGGCTTGGGCTGCCAGCAGCTTGACCCAAAAGACAGCTATTTTACAGATACATCTCTGTAACTATCCCTATTCCCACTTAATCGCTTTCATTATGTCCTAAGAGAACGTGATATGCAGAAATGAGAGCTATTTGGCCACGAAGGTGATGAGCAGCCTTTGAAGACTGTTCTCCGGCATCCCCAGCCTTGCTGCAGGGAAAAGCCTATCGAGATACAGCTTGGTTGCATTGCGAAGGACACCAGCAGCCGTGGAAGGGGTAATGGTAATAAATAGCAGGGAGAGGGCTGAGCAAGACATTAGCAGGGCGAAATCCTGCCCTCCAGCGACAGCCAGAGCTGCCAGGGCTCGTGAGGACAACCTCAAGGGAAAATGAGGGCAGAAGTATTTTTCTTTCCAAAGCTGCAGAGGAACCATGGAAAAACTGGGGAAAAATTACTGCAGGATTGGAGAGGAATTAACCCCCTGTGGTTTTGCAGGGAGGGAAACGGCTCCTTGACCAGTGGTGACAAGGCCAGTGACTTTGCTGCCTGTCCCAAGCTCCCTGTGCGCAGGCATGGCGAGACCTTCTGCAGGAGGCACGGTGCCCCTACGCCCCGGGGCACAAACAAAACACCAGGGATGAGCAGGGACAAGAGCCACCTCTTTGCAGGCACCAGCCCCTCAGGGTGGAGGACCAGCAGGGTGAGCCCAGCCGGGTCACCAGCTCCTACCTCGGACCAGTCGCCAGTTTTCCACTGGGGGCACAAGAAGTCGCTGCACCGCTGCACCGTCAGCTTCTCCTGCTGACTGCACTTGCTGTCGTCCAGGACATCGTTGTAGGTGTTCACGCACATGGCTCGCCGCCGCCGCGTGCCCCCGCCGCAGCTCTTGGAGCACTGGGAAGGAGAGAGACTAAGTAAATACTTTCTGCCACTCTATTAAGAGCCAAGGGCTCATTTATTGCCTTCTCCCTCTTTGCAGTCAGGACCGTGAGGAGGCTGCAGAAAACCTCAGGAAGAACAATTTGTACTTTAAGTAACAGGCTGTTACTTTATATATTCCTTTAAAACACCAATCTGGCTAAGCTTAATAAAATCTTGCAGCAATGAGTTTCACAAATTCATTTCAGGTTATAACCCCATTATTACTTTTACAAGTGTTGCCTTTCAGTTCTCCCAAATGGCTGTTGCTCGTTCTTGTTTTAGGAGAGATGAATTCCCTCTAACCAGCCAGCCCCCCTTCACTGTGCCCTCCCTGGAAATTCCCAAGCTCGTCATTCTCTTGGTGCCAGGCTTGCATTCAGGAACTTTCTTGTTCATGGAAAAGCGAAAAAGTGTTTCCTTTAAAATTTGTTTCCTTCAAACAAATTTCAGAAGTCCTCTGCTGATGGCAACATGTCCTCCCAGCTCCTGGCAGTGGTGCTGGCCTTGATAGGAGATGACAGCCAGAATTACTTAGGGTAATGAAGACAGACCTTGGGATGCTTAAAAGCATAAATTCATTGCAGTGGAAAATAAGGAGTACCGGGTTGATTTGGACTACAGCATCCTCCAGAAAAAGCAATGGAAGCAGAAGCAGTGGCCAACTTTTATATATATGTTGTTTGCAAAATAAACAGCCTGACACACCCCTGTGCAAGGAGGAGACAGCGTCCGCTGTACCACCGAGCATCCCTTACCTCGGTCCAGGCCGAGTACCGCCACCCTCCCACGTTACAGTCTCCAGTGCACTTCTCCCTGGTGCTCGGTTTGGGCTGGCTGCTGCAGAAGCGGTCGTCGACCTTCTCTATCTTCCCCTCCAGCCTGCTGTACTTGGAGCAGTAGATCTCCAGCGTGCGGTACCCCAGCCCGCACTGCGCCGTGCACTCGCTCTTCCTCGCGATGTGCCACCTGAGCCGAGGAAAGCGAATGTCAGCCCTGCTGCAGCAAAAACCCATGACCCCACGCAGAGGTACCTGCCGTGGAGAGGATCAGGAGAGGCAGAAGGAGCTGTGGGGCTCTGGGACTCTGCAGGTCACATGCTCAGGGGTGTTTGACATGAATAAGGAATATACACTCTTGAACTGGAAGCTTTGGCTCTTTACAATCCTTCCCAATGCTTTGTGGCTTCCAAAAACCCGAGGCAATTAATCCTGGCATTGCTCCTTGGGGGGAAGGAACTGTCACCAGCTCCCTCTTATGGGTGGCAAAGCCACACTGTGACCCTGCGGGACCACGCAGGGCGGTGGGGGGAGTCCGTGGCCAAGCAAGGAGTAGTGCTTTCAAGGCTTTCTGTCCCACGTTCCCCTGCAGGAGTGCCACCTCGGCCTCTATAAACAAAAAGCTGAGAAATACGGCATCAGAAAATGATCGGCACAGGCTTGAAAGGTGCAATGAGGCATTCCACAAGGCAGGATGCCTGCAAAACAGTTTCAGCTCTCCAAAGCGCGAGTGAATCACTTGCTTCCAGACACTTGAGCCCCAGAGGTGTCAGCAGGGATTAGGGTTGTTCCCTCTGGATGGATGGACTCCCACCCTGGTGCCTCCTTCCTGAGATGGGCAGCAAAGGCTGGTGGCCCTTAAGGACCCACCTGGGGACACAGCCCAGCTTTTCCACCAGCTCTGGCGAGGGATGCTGGACACAAGGCCTGATCCAGGGACATGTCGGAGACCCCGGAGCCAACACAGGCCAACTGCCCCCCACGCCTCGCAGGGGTGGCTCCCGGGGAAGGAGGCAGTGATGTCCCCTGCGTGTCCTGGAGACCCCCAGGGGTGTTCAAGCCCCTGTGCCCAGAGCAGGGAGCACTGAGCTCCTAAGTGAGAGAGCAAACTTCAGCACAGCCAGGGGAAGAATAAGATCAAGGGGATTTGGAGTCAATAGCTCCTGAATGGCGGGGCGCTCACATCCCTGCCTGCTTTTCAAACTCCTGCATTTGCCCTTCTCAAGTTTCCAACCTGTTGCAATGGCAACAGCTGTTACCGCGACAACCCGACCTATAGCCCCTATACATCCCCCGGTTTAACAGAGCCAGAGAAGCCCCTCGGGAAAGGCGGCCATCTGAATTGCTTCACCAGCAGCCGTTTAATGCCACCATATTTAAGCTCCAGAAAGGAAAACAGATTGCTTTTTAAAGGAAAATGGGTTGTAATGATTTAGGCCATGCTCCATCAATTCCCGCTCGCCAGGAGTTGTCTGGGGACAGCCCCAAACCCACTCTCTGCTTAAGCCTATTCTTTGCTTTAAGCAAATGATGATAAATCCAAGTCTTAGTTACTCTTTTGCTTTGAGCATATGTTTTTCCCTCTTTACAGGCTGTTTGTTGGATGGTGCTGATCATTTCTGATCCAGGCAGATGTGAATTTCAGGCACTGTATTGCACGGGGAGATTTTTCTACATTAGATGAGGGTTGAGGTTTTTTTATAGTTAGCTCTAATTTAATCCAACAAGAGAAATGTGAAAATGTAGAAAAGTGCCTCTCAAAACACAGTTGGTGGACGTCAATCCCTCTTGGTTGACAAAGATGCAACTGCTAATCCTTTCCTTTTTTAAATCTAGTATAGGCTGGTGAGAAAAGGAATTATGGTGAGAGGTGAAAGGAAAGGGGAGTAAATAATAAATATACGATGTAATGTATACACACGGCTGAGTAGAGTGCACCTTAATTCACATTCTGTGCCACAAGGCTCAGTGATGGGGTCAGGCTGCGGAATTCGATCACATCGCTGGTCCGACACCGTGAGCTGATCTGACTCCCTCGTACACACGGGTTTCCTTTTTCGTTCTCCTACACAGAAAAAAACCCCACACATCATTTAAGTCATACAGAAAAGCGATCAAAGCAGTTATTTCTCTTACTCTTTTTACAGTAGCAATTAAGAGACATTTAATTATGCTTTTTAAATCTCTTTCAGAAACAGGGAGGTGGTTAAGACTCTCTAAGCAGAACAGAAGGGGTTTAACGCAGGCAGAGCTGCGGCACACGCCTGCACGGAGGGGCTCTGCGCGTTTAGCAGGGCCAACGCTGGCAGGTGGGAACGACGGGGTGTCAGACCCAAAACAGACACCCAAGCCTCTCGCAGCCTTCGGCAATTCCTCATAACCTTTCCTGCGCTTGAGCTCCCTCCGCCTGCAAAGCAGGTTGCGAGGCTGACCTGGCTCGGGGGGGGGGCGGCTGTAACGGTGCTCTGCTCTCAAACCCAGAAGCAACGGAGCAGCGCTACACCTCGTGCGACATCATCTGCCACGACAGCCCAGGGAAACAATCATCCCCATAACGTGGGAATTCCAAAGAAAGTGAATGGAGAGGGATTTCACAGCACGGCTCGGGTCCCCAGATGAATCCAGGACAAAACTGCGTCTTCCTCAAAGCCTTCCCAAGCACCCACCTTGGCAGAGCTTACTGCAGGGCTGCCACGGGCCGTACGCATTCCAGTAAAACTGCTGAGGTTTGTCCTCAATGGGGATATTAAATGTGTAACGAACATCGGGATTGTACAAATTGCCCACTGATAAAACCTGAGGGGAAAAAGAGATGAAGCAGAGTAAACTAACAGACTTCGCTGCCCACTGTTTTCATTCCAATAATGCTGGTCAGACTTTTCCACACGCACAACATATACTTCACCTGAAGCGTTATTTCTTGCTCAATCCGATCTGTAGAATTAATCCTTTCAATAGTATTATCCGATCCGCTGTATTCGATCACAGCATTCCCAACTTTGATTTCCCTTTTAAACATACTGACGACAAAGTCTCCATTTAATATAAAGTCTCCTTGACTGTTAGATAAGGCTGCATAGGTGCAAAAAACAAGAACTAAAGACGCAGAATTAACTCATACGTACATAATAACGTGGGTCATGCGCTCTCAGGGCTCCCTTTCATTGGGGTGGGAGGAAAAGCCCACTGGCACTCTCAAACAGAAAGGATGTAAAGAGAGCAGCAGAGCTCTTAACAGACATTGTGCCTTCTCCTTTTTCCACTGGAGAGCCTCATTAAAACGAAGGCTGAATGCCTGGAGTGGTTGCTAAATAGTTCCCGCATAACCCCAGGCATGGAGATACCCAAAAGGCACTCCGGGCGGCTGCTGTCCGGGGCGCACACCGCCTGTACCGCAGAAATAACCCTGCCCAAACCTTTTTGTTAGCCATGCAGATAGGGTGGCTTCCCTGTTGTTTCCAGGTGCGTTCTCAGGGTAAATGCACACACCCTAATTGCCCAAACGTCATTTTCCAGTAGATAATTACAGGGAGCTTGGTCAGTATCTCCCCCTCTCTCTCCCTCCTCCCCTCTCCCCGTACTTTTTATTATTCCAAATCTTAAGGTATGTGAAAGCACTGAAGGCTTAAAGCCTAAATGCTTTATAAAAGGAACAGTTTCCTGAAAACAGCAGTCTGCTGCACAACTTCACACTAATGCGATTATGTAGCTAATTTCCTAAGTTAGTTTCCCCACCATTTCACCCATCACAGCTACGTTACTACAAAGCCTCTGTACTGAAAAATCTAAACTTAACACCAAAACACTCAAGGGAAGGTTTTTGCACCAAATGAGGAGAGACAATGAAGCAAAACGCTGCTCGGTAGCAAACAGACATAGATGGAGAAAAACTCACAAAGCAGATGCTATACTTGACCAAATTCCACACTTTGGAGGCTTTAATGTCATTAGACAGTAGTAAAACTCATTAAAGGATTCCTTCCCGTTTACTGTATCTCCTACAACAGTAGGTACACGTCTTGGACTTGATGACAACATCAAATTCCTCCTAAATTGTTAAGCAGCTACAAGGTTCACAGTACTGAGGGCCCAAGATTTCACACTCAGTGAGCTGCAAAATAAGTGGACACATGCACACTTCTCATTTGCTTCTAGTCAGGCCTAATGTGAAGAGATGCTTTCCCAGCAATATTAAAGCAACATTAAAGAAGATTTGACTTCGTTGCTTCCCAAGAAGATTAAAGGCCCTCCAAGAAGAGCTGAGAAGTTCTTTGGGGCTCCTTCTGGGTTGAACCAGTTTGAATAAGCACAACAGAGGGAGGATTGTTTTTCTCGAAAAGATGAATAATGAAACGCATCTCCCCCTCCAGGATGGAAAACTATCACACTTTGGTAAGGTCTTCTTGGTATTGACGTGCGTTTGTGCTGCACCATCTCATTTCATTGCTGTGAACATGCAGAAACGATGCAAGGCGGCTGTAAGGGAACGGCCGCTGCATGCAAGGATGGAGAGCCTGGCACGACCCCAGTCTGGGAATGGGGACAGGGAGGACCCGCTCAGATTTTTGCCTAAAAGGGTCCAGCCACATGGATGGCGTTTCAGAGCCACAGCCAAAGCTATCAGCACCGCTTTCCTTTGGTGCGCGATAGTCTCCTCTGCTTGTTTCTCAAGTGACACAAAGAAATGAGTTTCTTTACCTTCAATGGGTGAGGAACCACCAGCCTCGTCCCGTTTTTAACAGCAAGTGAGCACTTGGGCCAGGCCCTGTATTTTGCAAAAATGCTCAACAACTCAGGGGTTTTGCGAGACGAAATGAGATAAAGATGAGCTCAGAGATGTAAATACAGGATCCCGTGCTACCGGAGCACAGCTGGCAGTGCCGGGCACGGGGTGTGCAGAAGAGAGGGGACAGAGTGGGGAGAGCAGCCATCTCCCCAGGACTGCGAGGGGCCACAGCCTGACTCCCTGCTCCGTCAGCGGCCTGAACACGCTCCGAGGGACACAAACAGGGCTCAATGGCAAAACCAGCCATCGACTGCCAGGTCTAACATCAGTCGTTATGTGCGGTTGTGTTATCTCCGCTATTGGAGAAATGGCCTCAAGTTACACCAGGGGAGGTTTACAGCGGATATTTAGAAGGATTTCTTCACAGAAAGGATTATCAAGCATTGGAACAGGGAAGCGGTGGAATCGCCATCCCTGGAGGTATTTAAAAGATGGGCAGACATGGTGCTGAGGGACATGGTTTAGTGGTGGTTTTGGCAGCGGTAAGTTCATGGTTGGACTCAATGATCTTAAAGGTCCGTTCCAGCTTAGATGATTCCGTGATTCTATGATTGAACTCAAACAGAACTCACTATGGGATGAATTAGTGATGGGCATGGTAAAAAAAAAAAAAAAAAAAGAAAGACACATGGTGATGCTAAAAGCATATGTGTGTGCAGCAGACTGGTCTAACACAGCACCGCAAGCATTCTCATCTGGCTCTAGACACATACCCACAGATTAGAGAAAACAGTGACTATGAATGTCCAACAGCCAAAGGCCAAGTTGTTGTTAGGTTTAAATCAAACCAACATCTTTGGCGCAGCATATTTCATCACAGTTACATATCATTGCCGAGCAGGGACAAGAAGGACTTAGTCTAAGTAAAACCAGAATTATTATTCTTAGGGGAACGGAAAATAATTTCTGTTTGGATTTGTTTGTACATATGCCATTCAGGGTACAGCATATTTACTCTCCAGCCAAGGCACGGGGACAGCTGAGAAGTGCTAAGTTGCAATGAGGAGACTCCAGCAGAACTCCGAAGCCTGTTTGGTTCCCAGCTTAGTGCCTCAGCTCCCACCCATGGCCCGGGCTCGATACCCCTTCCTAGCCCCAGAGACACTCTGAGGGGATATTTCTTATAATCTAAGAGCCTCCCAAACTTTGAATCAAGGGTGGCATGAACAAAAAGAAGGAGCAAGATAAGGCCGGATGTTTGGTAGACATATGAGAGAAATTCTCAATAAGAAAACATCTCCCTTAAACGAATTCTTCATCCTCCCTAGCAGAGAGCAGCCAATAGAGATGTCACCACAATCAGAAAATAAAGCAGAATTCTGCGCTGAAACAAGGACTGCAACTCACCCAGGTAGTTGTCATCCTCTGGTTTCCCTGAGTAACTGTGCTGACGCACATCAATATTAGTTGCACCAGCTGGGATGCGGACCACAACGTTATAGCCTGGAAAAGATTTAACAGAAAGTCAAGGCTATTACACAGACATTTCATTTGCTTTTTACGGGGGGAAGGGAAATGAGCAAAACTACCTCACATTACACAAGCTGATACTTTTCATTTAGGGATAGCATAAATAGTTATAAAATGGAATATGCTATAGCTAGAAGGATTTTGCATTTTACATCAGTGTTTTTGTAGATTAAGTGTGGTAATGGCTTTTATAGACCCGCATTTTTCACTATAAAGTTTTTAGCAACAGATTCTTACCATAATGCACCGTGTTAAATGTGCCTGCAATAGTTTTGCATGAAGAATTATCCCCACCGCAAACACCACATTTATCTCTTCTTGCTTTTGAATTCAGCACATGATCGCATCCAGCTTGCTTTAAGAGAAAAATTGAAAAAACTAGATTGAGCAAATATACAGCCTAGAACAGCATTTACTAACCTCCCAATCAAGGCACACAAAAGCTTTGTTTGCAAAAGGCTGCCATGAGACAATCGTTTTGCTTCCCCACATTTCTCTGCTGATTTACAGTGTGGCCATCCCACACCATTTTCAAACAAAAGGCTTTCTTACGAAGTGAGAATCAGAACTGCCATTTGCACCAGGCGATGCCTTCGCTGGAGAAAATTCTGGTGTCCGTTGTTCCCACAGAGAAAAGTGTGGAAAAAATAATTGTGAATGGAAATGTAAAGCGCTCTGGGGTCTGACCGGGAAGAAATGGAGCAGAGCACTGAAGGAAGCAGCATTTGGATTCAGGCTCAGAACTCCACAGCCCTCAGTAACTTTGGGCAGATGTACCAACACCCTCTTCTGCAAACCTGGAGGTTGCCCCAGGCTCCAGCCGGGGCTCGTGGAGCCTTCGGATGCTGCCAGCAGCCCCCGAGGGAAGATGGCACACCAACAGCCGGGTGGAACAAGATGCTGAAGCGCCATCCTCCCCCGCCAAACTGCAGCCACGCTCGCTAAGGAGAAGGGAAAATGCTTACCCGGCAAAGGCCCTGCACGCAGATGTCATTCGTGTCGGGGCCGCAGGGCGTCCCGTCGATGACGCGATCCCGCAGCTGGTAATACGCCGTGTTTCCCGCCACCCGGCAGAACAACTTGCACCGATCCTTCATCAGGACTGGGGATGGGAGGGAGGAAAACCAGGAGCACGTTATCCGAATGCCCTCATCCTGAGGCGGTGATGCAGGAGGCAGGATCTGCATCCCCCCACCCCACCACTTACTGCCGCTGTATTTGGGAACCCAGCGCACGTTCGTGGGCAGCCCGTTGATGTTAAAGTGCTTCCCGTCGAAGTCGGCACACTGCTCGTCACGGAAATCCTTCTTCAGCTTCGAGCACGGTTCGGTGTTGCAGGATTTAAACTTCATGCGACGACCCACGCAGTACTTCCCACCGTTTTTAGGCCTGCGGAAACAAGACAGAGAAGCCGGCTGGGATCGGGTTGGAAAGGAGATGCAATTGCAGTTCTGCAACCTGTGCAGCACAGTTGGTATTTACATCACCATTTTGATGGCTCCGTCTACATCTATGCATGTCTTTAATTAATATCGCAGGCTGACAAGCAGGAAAGATTATGTAGATGTCCAATAAAAAAAGACCATACGTGCGATGCTAAAAAGGGATGAAAAAGGGAATACTTGCTCTCTGATGAACACAGAGGTAGTGAGAGAAGCCAGAGAGGAAGAGCAACATCTTCCTCCCCATCTGAGGATTTAGTTTCACACTGACGGATCCCATACCGGGGGACCATCCCTCCACAACCCCATTGGTCCTATGGATTTGCAGCAAATAACCGAACAACATGGCAGAAGGGAGAAAGGGCTCCCCTGCCGGGGCGGAAAGGCCAGGCAGGACTTAGTCCTTCAGGATTTCTAGCCCAAAATGGCAGAAATGGTAATGCTAGACACTTTTAAACAACTTTCTCTCCATGTATTCCAGAAAGCACTGAAGAAGGCCAATAAATACTTTATCCCCATTTTATAGTAGGATGACTCTGGTATAAACTGGAGAGAGCGGTATCATCCAAGCCACACAAAAGCTGGCAGATAAGCCTAGGAGAAATTGTCATTTTGAATTTCCCAAGTCCCAGATTCAGGGCTGTAGTCATAAAACTATTTTTGTCCTCGTACATAGATGGAGCCTTTGCCAGATAACTGCTCACTTCGGGGACCAAAAAAGCCTCACCCCCTCCAGCCGCTGTCAGCAGCGGTGCGGGAACGAGCTGCATGCGGACGGCATCGGAGGAGCCCAGCAGAAGGCACTTGTCTGGTGAGGACTCATTTTCAGCTATGTTAGTGCTGTGAGGAAAGTACCCCTGGGATACAAACTACCCTATTTACTGTCTGTTCAACAGACATTTATTCTAGGAACTTGGGTAAGATTTCATATGCCCATCTACGTGCAGCCTTCTGTGTATATAATGAATTGTAATAATAAAATAAAAAGAAAAAAGGATTCACCATGCTTCAAATGTTCCAAAAAACTCCACTGTCTCTGCTGCTGTCTCCTGAAACTTCAAATGAAACTGAGAGGCCATGGTGGAGTCTTCTACAAGCTACCACCATTAACATGCATAATAAAAACTGCAGCATCACTCAGGCAGCTTTGCTTTTCCTTGATGTTACAGAAGGAAAGATATCGCAATCCGGATGAAAGGTTGGCAGGGTCAACTTGGGCAAAGCTGTAATTATCCAAAAGGGAAAAATTATACCGACTAGAACCTGCGCTGAGGGGAGATGAAGTTAACGTGCATCCCAGCCATCAGCATGGGAAAGCCTCCACAGGCTGAGGTCAGCCCCAGCCTCTCCCTTCAACAGACCGTTTCAGAGGAGTCAGCAGAGGACAAGAGCATCCGGACCAGATGCCCATCGGCGCCTCAGGGATGCTGGCAGAGCACATCTTCCCATTGAGCCTCCTTGGGAAGGAAAGCGGTTTGCACACTTGGAGACGCTCTGAAATGTGAGCTAATGAATGATAAATAGGAATCACCCCTGTCTTTAGCAGGGAGATGCCCACTGTAAGCTCTCCACATTGCTTGCAGCCAGCATCTCCTAACACAACAGAGACGGAAACCCCCTGCACATATATGAGGGTCTCTGCACACAGTGAGTCAACAAATTCCTACAGCTGAACACAATTTTTTTAGCATCTCTGCACATCAGCCACCTAGGAAGCCCAGCAGTGCTTTTGCTCCCACAAATAACAATTTTTCACTCTTACATTTGAAACCTACTTTGTGACTCAAGTAGCGGAGTTCCTGTGAAATAAGCGGGGGGAGACAGAGGCACAGAGCAGCTTGCACTTGCCAAAAGATTACCTGCAAAGCAGGGAAGGGCAGGCAGGCTTCCCACCACCCCATCAGCACACCAAACTAGGGATGCTCCCGGGTTTGACAGAAGGATTTGCCTCCTCCAGCAGCCGGGAGCAAGACGCAGAGCACCACCAGCAGCTACACACACGGGATTTTTCCTGCCAGCATCCTCTCCGCACTGAGACACGCACTGCCACAGTGCAGACCCCTCAAGTCCTACCCTAAATGCCGAGGGGTATGATTTGTCTTTAGGCGCAACCTGGAGAGATAGTCGGTAACATCAGCTCTACCTGCTCCGAGGGCAGCTCTCACATGCCATCTGGAAACTAAACATGTCTCACTTGCAAAGGTTTCTGGTGCTTGCAATTAAGCAAGTACCAGTGATAAAAAGCCCAAGCAACCACACAGCGCCCAGTGCAGATTCTTGTTTACAGACTGATTTTACACCAGTTACTAATGCAGCAAGCCTAAACCTGGTTGCTACCGACTTAGTCTCTTCTCCACTTTGGTATGACAAACAATTTGAATTCGTTTAACTGATTACACTCCAGAGCTAACCCAGTGCAGCAGCCCCTGGGGATGCACCGTGCACTCCTCGCAGCCACAACAGTGATTTCTGGGGGTTTCCCACCACCGGAGCCCTTCCCGCAGACTATTCCCACGAGGGCACATTATCTACCTTCAGCTACAAAGGCACATCTTGACCATCTCACCACACAGCACAGGGGGAAACTTCTTAGCTGCGGCAGCAGCACACTCCAGACCTGAGTGAGCCGGAATGATTCCCGGGGGAGTTAACAGGAGTCACCATTTTCACTTTGAAAGCATTTATACCACAGCAGGGCCGCCACAGTTTGACAAAGGCTCTAAATTACGCAAACCTCTAACAGGGCATTTCTTTTAAAAAAAAGGCAATGACAACATTTCTATGGTAACCACATTGCTTCCAATATAAATGTTTCATGAAAATTAGACTTTTAAATATTAAGTTAGTTAAGAAGAACAAGCAGAAGCCTTTTTTTTTTTTTTTTTTAATAAAAAAAGGTTACGGCTAACAAAATCCAAAGATCCCAAGCTACTGTACAGTTTCCTTTTCTCTAGACATGACCCGTGAGATTGAGATGACATTGAACACATGGACACACCGCAAACTGAGGGATGCTAAAACTTGCCATAGTGTTGCAAACTGTCAGCCTTGTAACTGTGGCAGTAAATCTCCCTGCAGCCAGTGTTTGGGGCTGAAGCACGCTTACACTTCTGTCATTTCAAAACAGTCCCAAACCACCCTGACAGTTTTAGGGTGTTTTTAAACCAGCATTGCTTTGCACGGAGTCTGAGTAAACAGAAAGAGCTGACCCTGAAAAATAAGTCAGCCTCATATAACATCGATTTTCAGTGTCACCAAGAAATACGGGATACTTCATACTACGTAATATATTTATGGATAATCATCAATGATGTACTGCAGGGACAGAAGGGAATGCAGTGCACGCATAGAAACCTCCTTGTCTCTCGATTTCCCTTCTCTCCAAATCATCTATTTGATCAACTAATGGCTGGTGTGGACCCGCTTTCAACATAGCATAATTCCCCTTCGGAGCTCCTGTGCACACCCCGGCTTCGCTGCATTCCTCCCAGCAATGTCAGAAACTCTCAGGACACAGCAGACAGCCCTGGGGGTCTTATCCCCGCTCCCACCCCAACAGGTCTTAAATATAAAAGGCTTAATGCATCATCTGCAATCACTAACCTTGAATGTTTTCACTTGCAGACCCTAAGGCAGCGCCCAACTCTCAGCGCTCCAGGAGCACCAGGTACAGGCACCTCGCTGAGAATCGCTGTTTTGGGGGTGCTTTGCATCTGCTCAGCCCCGTGCTGCTGTTCCCTGGGCTGCCGCAACGAAAGGACCCTGGAGACCAACCGCGGGGCACGTGTGTCCATCTGCATGTCTGCCTATGTGTCTGTGCTCATGCAACGACCGCAGAAAAAATCTGTGATGCTCTAGCGTGCGCAGATCAGTGTGAGATCTCCTTCGCAGCATCCCGGGAAGCCCCGGGACCGGGAATCGGTATGTTTGCTGCCAGTGGCCAGCACAGTTATCTACAGATGTGTTTACGTGTCAAGCTCAGACAGCTTTCAGCACAGGTGGATACTTTTGTGATGGACTAAAACGTAGAAGCGATCTGTCTCGCATCCAGAGATAACACTGCCCCATCCAGAAAGCCATTCCTGAAAACAGGGCTCCTGGTATCAACACCTTATGAAATATGCCTTTCCCCCATAATGCCGCAGCTACGCCTTGCTTTGAAAACCAGGGCTTGCACCACAGACCCTCTACGTGACGCGCGGCAGCCGGGGGCTTTGTCTGTACCAGCCAGCCTCGAATTCCCAAGTGGGCAGTCTTGGTGGGAAGGGTCTGGTCTGGTTAGCTAATACATTCCTTCAGCGTATGTCAAAACACAGTCTGCTGCCATTTCAGAGGCTTACGGCTTCCTACAGCCCTGCAAGATACTCATCCATGTAGGTGTCAGAGCACATTACAAACAGAGGCAGGAGCTGCAGAAGTATTTTCTGTGCTGTGGCAGAGGGGGTTCATTTTCAATGCCAGATTTAACATAATATTTTATTAGCAAGATACCACCCCAGATCTTCATGCACACAAAAAAAATTAAAATAATCTTAATAAGCTAAACTGTCTTTGAATATAAAAGACAATGAAAACTATTTCAGATGTTACTCAAGGTATCTGGGTTGGTTTTGCTGCCTTCTAGGACAGAGGAGAAACAGAGACTACACCTAGTCTGTGTATTTTTGAAGTACTTTGGAAAGTGGGAGAGGCAGAAGAGGACCCAGCGGCGTCTCGTCCACTCGCATCGTTTTAGCAGCCCCACAATTACAGGGACGCAGATGGCAGGAGCTCGCGCTACGATGTCAAGTTATGGGGACAAAACAACAGAGGCGGAGTGAAGCTCTGTGGCTGGTGCTCGCACAGACGACTCCCTGCGGAGACTTCACGAGGGGCTGTGGAAGAGGCCAACGCCAGCTACATGGCTCTCAAAAAGGGGCCTGGAAAATAACCACTGCTAATGATAAAGGCAGGGGATTTCACAGGCAGCTTGGTGCCTAGCGTATTTAGGTGCTTTTGCAAAGCCCAGCCAAAGCAATACGCCTGACAAAACACCAAGATACAGAATGCAAGCTGTAAGAGAAGATGGAATTTAAAATCCCTTGACTAGCCTTTAGGACAAAGGAGATTTTCTATCACAAAAAAGCTATCAGTCCAAACAGGTGCCTCTCCAGAAGACGGGGATACTTCTCACTGACAGCATCCTAAGGTTCAGTAGCACGGCTATTTTTGCGTGTGGAAAGACGTTTTATTTTTGTGTCTCCATGGCTACCGGAAGACCATATGGCGTGTGCTGACTCAGCACAGTGAGACGAGAACTCCTTTGCGCTTGTGTGTTTCTCAGCATCATTTTAATTAACGTGCTGGTGTCTGACTCCCTTAGCCTCAACCCTTCTCTTCCCTTTCGACGCTTGCCCGGCCGTGCTGAGCCAGCCTCTCCTGTCACTTCACCGCCGCTGCCGCAGGTACAAAGTCTCCCTGCTCCCATTAGCAGTGATGAAACTGTCACTGGTGCATCACTAATGGCAATTTCCTTGGCAATAAGCCATCCAACACCAATGACGAGACAGTGGAATGAGCCTGCTCCATGTTTTTAAGACCCCTTGGTCCAAGGAGCTCCGCACACCCCTCTCCTCTCCATGTCCCAGTCCCAAATGAGAGCTGGGAAAGCATCCCGCCCACCCCTTCTTGCTCTCGTGGGCTGAAAGGAGGCAGTTAAACACAAACCAGCACAGTTCACAATTTACGTAAACAGGCTGTTTTCATACCAGTTGCTCAACCTATTACTAATATTTTGCCAGCCACACATTCATCTCCTTAAAGCCCACGGCAAAATTCCCTGCCATTTCAAAGGGTGCAGGATTTTGCATTCCAGGCTGACGGCAAACATTTCTGAGTGCCACTTTTTAATAGGGCACAGATTTCTGCTGAGGTTTGGCTAGTCTGCACCAGCTGACATGCAACTGTATAAAGGATCAGCTGCAAAAGCAGCCAAAAGCTGAAAAACCAGCCAAAGCAGGAGTTAGACGGTAGAAAACTGTATAAATGATCTGGCCTGTAGGAATAACTGCAAAAGGAGCCAAAGCAGGGGGAAAATGGTGATAAATAGAGAAAAACATGGCTCCTTCCCTTCTCCCTCCTTTCTGACCCACAGATTTGGAGGAAGAAAAACACCTTTGGAAGTGGGACCCCAGCTGTGCCCCCCCAAGGAAAACAGGGGGCAATAAACCCATGCAGATATTGGCTTTTTCCTTCTCTCTCTGTTGAAGGGATCCCTTTTTAGTGCACTTTACCCACAAACCAAACCTGTGACCACCTCCTCCTGGGGCCCTGTGCTGCCTCATCCATGTCGGGCAAAGCCACCGGTCCCCGGGACGTCCACGGGCTGGGGACAGCCAAAGGGGATTTCAGCCCCTTTGGGCAACCCAGCTGCTTTTCCCCATGTCACCCACCAGCAGCTTCCCCTCCGTGCACTTACTCGGGCCTGTTGCACTCTCGTATCGCCGTTTTTATGCCGCCGCCGCAGGTTCTCGAGCAGGTGCCGAAAGGGCTCCACGTTCCCCACGCTCCATCTATCACCGGCGCCTCTCGCTCTTTGGGCACGCACATCCCAAACCGGCAGTGCTGCGTGAGAGATGGAAAAGGTGGGTTTGCATTGCTTTTGCATGACGAGCCCACCGCCAGCGACCAGTCTGGATGCCAACACTCGTACTCACTCATTTCTCAACCATTCACCAGATGCAACAAGGATTTTACAATCAAATGAACTTTAACTTCTTTGCTTTTTGTCTGTCACCCCCATATTTTTTTCTCTATATACCCTCAAATGAAGAAGCTGCAGAGTCCATGGGAGTGATTTACAGGAAAAAGGCTGAGGATGACAGCAACCACTGAATATCCCCTGTTTACTGGTGCCAAACAGCACGGCAACGCTCGCGGCGCTGCCTTTTCAAAAAGCTGCTTATCTGATTTCCTGGAGAGCAGCAGGAACCGCACCACGCCAGAGACAGACAGTAGGGAAAAACACCAGGGAAAACTCAAACCTCCCCACAGCTGTACAAAGCCTAAGAACAGAAGGGGGAAAGGAAACTTCCAAAACCAAAGGGCAAACAAAACAGAAAAATTAATTCCTCAATCCAAAGTATTTCTTTTTCCACTCAGCCATAACACAGGATTTGCCAAGGCCTGGTCTACACTTTTGCTTTCCAGCTATAACTCTTGTTTTCTCTTGTTTGGAAAAATGGTTTAAATTATCTTGGCAAGCCTCCATCCCCCATTTTTATGGTATAAATTGTGTCCCTTTGCGGTGTGTTTGCTAGTTTGACTACACAGACTTCTGGAGAGGTGAGATGTAGGGGACGGTCACCTTCTGGCCCCACCAGCGTGGATGGAGAAGTGTCCCCCCGACCCGTGAGAGCGGGGCTTCCCTCCCACTGAACAGTGCTCGCTTTAAACCCAGAGACGTGCTCATCTGCTGGCGGATACCTAAATCTTTGCAATTATAGGAAGCCCAAACATTGCTGATTGCTCACAGATTAGAAGAGGTTACAGACTTAAAAGAAGAAAACATATAGTGCATCATTAAAACATTCCCTTGCAATATTTCTCTGCACTAGATGCTGTTCAGGCCGGGAAACACCGGACAATATTTATGGGAATGGGGTCAAATTTACTGACGTGCCACATTTTTCCAACTTTTTCACTAACAGCGGAATAAGGTTGTATCAAGACACGCTCACCATAAGCTCACCCCCCTTTTTAGACATCCTTATGAACCACCTGGGAGAAAGCTACCTAGGAAAACAGCAAAATCAAGCTTATCATGGGGGTTGTACATCCAGCCCACAGGACACTGGGCTCTGCAGCACGTTGAACACCTTTTGCCCACGATTGCCAACTTGTCACATTGCTTTGCTGCTGAAGAACGCTGATCTCAGGTGCGCTTGCCTACAGGCATGGTTTGCAGGGCGGCTGAACAACTCATAGCTTGGGCCCTAAATGTGGTGTTTGCTCAGAGATAAATCACAGACTGGTCAGGGTTGGAAGGGACCTCTGGAGATCATCTAGTCCATTCCCCCTGCCAGAGCAGGGTCACCTACAGCAGTTGCACAGGACGGCGTCCAGGCGGGTTTGGAATGTCTCCAGAGTGGGAGACTCCACCACCTCTCTGTCAGCCTGTGCCACTGCTCTGCCACCCTCAGAGTAAAGAAGTCCCTCCTCATCTTTGATGGAACTTCCTATGCTCAAATTTGTGCCTGTTACCTCTTGTCCTGTCACTGGGCACCACTGAAAAAAGACTGTTCCCATCCCCCTGGCGCCCTCCCTTTAAGTATTGATATTATTATTTAAGTATTTATTATTATTATGAGCATGGTCTCTCGGCTGCCACGTGCCCTGGATTTGTTTTCCTCCGAAGATTTGATTCCCCAACGAGAAACTGGCAGGAAAATATATGCTACGGTAAAGGACAAGACTAAAATAAGCTGAAATGCCCGTTTCTTTGCTGCAGCACAAACCCTCATGACGCACAACTCCTCTTGGCATTTTGAGGCTTGAAAAACTGCAGGATGGGGGACCCCTATGCCAGTCCTGTACAAAGAGGTCCGACAGCTTTCGTCAATGTACAAAAATACACAACACCAATCCAACAGCTCTGTCCCGGTGGAGAACTTTTCGCAGCAATGTTGATGCTCACAGCTAAATATATAACTAGAGTCACGCTTGGCACCTCTGACCCATTGAAGAGGACTGAATAGCTAACTAGTGAATGTACACAGCTAACAGACCGTGACGTGACCTATATGTCTCCCATCCAATGGTTGAGAATTAACCAGGAAATCACCTACATCCCTTGATTTTATTAAAAATTGGGGGTTTGGACTTGATGGTAAATCAAAAGGAGGAAAAAAAAAAAAAAAAGAGCAGCTGTTTTAAATAAACAGCAAGATTATCTTATGGAAACGCTATGGTGTTTCTTGGAACCACACTGTGAATAGTCTGGCTGTGCAACCTTCGTGCCTTTTGTATTTTAAAAATAATTTCTATGTTGAGTTACAACAGAAAAACTAAAAAGCCTGCCAGGATTCTCTTTCCTATGAGCTTACAGATCAGAGAATGAAGAGAATAAAAGCGTTTTTGTCTGGAGCAAGTTCAAAATAACTTAGACACACAGTTGAGCAGGAGAGCAATGGCAGGGACGGGAGACGCTACAACAGACTTTCCTTTCCTTTGTCTTGCCACTGGAGTCCCAGATAATTCACCAAATCCAGCTCCCATCCTTGGGCTGACTTTGGCTGAATAGATTAGCAGGGGGCAGACAAGTGCTGTGAAGCTTCATGCATGCATAACATATACGCTACCTGCTGCCATATGGCAGGAGACAGAAATGATTACTATTCCTCTACTCTTCTTTTACCATTCTTTAAACAACCCTGAAAACCACAAGAGAGAGAGGCCCAAGTTTACAACTCTCTCTGTTTTCTTTCAGTGATTTATTTCCACCCGACAATGCGTTGGTGCTGCGAAACACTGTAAACCATCACGACCGGTGCTCTTCCAGCAAAGGCCAAACTCTGGGCTGGGCTTATTACTTGATTTAGCAATATCAAATTCAGTGTCCTCACATGCAAAATATGCATAAGCTAATACTCCCATGTTGTTTTAGCGTCTTTGATTTAAGAATAAATTTAGAGCCTGGTTAAATCTACATCCCAGTAATTTTAGCGAGCTGATTTTTCTTAGCTATTCAGGCTCCCTCGTTTCCAAAGATATCTCCATAAAAAATGGCATGGTATTTTCTCCATCTGCCAACCCATATATCACGGGCTTTAAACATGCAGACTCGAGGCAAGGCATTAGTCAGCAAGCAGCAGTTTGATGGGGCTCTTGGCCACAGCAGAGTACCAAAATAGTGATTTATTCCAATGAAAAGCACTCCAGACTCGCACCTCAGCATTTCACAAGCCCAAGTAAACACTGAGGAGAAGAGAGTTTACAATGATCCAAACCTTAAGCTCGAATTAGACCGACAAACAGACACAAGAATTACTCCGTAAAGCCTTTTTTTGTGAGAATACATTCAAATGCCTGAACACGAGTGGACTGCATTAGCTTTTCTTAAGAGCCCATCTGCTCTCAGCTGAGAAGTTCAGGTCACACTTGTCTAATTTGTCTAAACTTGTCAAATTGGCTAAATTTGTGAACCGAAATGTTTTTGCTTACACGGTCTTTATCAAGAGCCATGCAGCTGGACACTGCCTCTTGGATGACATGGTAACTCTGAGGAGGTGCTAATCTGCTCAATTGCAGTTGTTTGCACATCACTCTGGCCATATCCAAGGGTAACGGCAGGTTTGTCAAAACAAAATTGCAGCGCAGATTCCTTGGATTTCAAGAAAACAGTTATTTCCGAGTTTCTAGCAGTGAGCAGACCCCAAGCTCACAAACGGAGAAGTTGAAGACACAAGGTCTCACGTCAAGGGGACTCCACAGATGCCTAAGCTTTACCCTGAGTCTCAGAAAAGGGAGGATTTTACATAAAAACATTAAATATTGGTGCACTGCTAGCTCCAAAGAATAGCACAGGAATAGATTTCCAAGCACATCTCTAATGCACGTTCTCAACAATAAAAACAAAGGTGTTGACTGTGCTTTTCCCCTAAGAAAGGAAGGCAAATTGATACATTATGCCCATTGTCTTGAAGGATATCAGTCAAGCATCATTGAACAATTGACTTTTCAGACATATGCAACAAAAGATTAATTACCAAGCCTTTATGGAAAATTATATCTAAAATAGAATCCAGATATTTTTATGAAAATATATTTGAAAGACACTGCATTAAATGTTGACTCTTTCTAAAGAGAACTTTAACTATTGATCATTAACAGCCAGAAAAGCAAATTTTTAAGCTATACCTTGTAGAATAACATCACACTTTTCTTACTAGATCTAGGAGGAGAATATTTTTGTTCAGACAAAAATTATGAAAACTGGTTAGCATTTTTCTTCAAAACCTCCAGTATCTCAATAAAAATAAAAATCCTCTCAATTATTTTTCCCCAGATCTGGACAACTAAAACCAAATACTTATTCCAGAAACCACAACGCTAGCTGGAAACTAACATTGCACATGGAAATTTAAAGTGTCTATGAATTACTGCCAAAACTGTTCCATATAGAAAACGTCAACCAGTTCTATATCTTACTCTGAAGTTGTCAAGATGAGAAGCCAGTTGGCAAGTTTATGTTACACAAAATTACTAATTGCTCACATCACATAGGAAATTTCTAATAAAAGCCTGGGGAAGCTTTGCAAAAGTTTTGCTCAAGAGTTCACTCAAGGGCATTAATTTAAAAAGATAAGCACTCCAGAAGGAATACCTGCTTTAAAACAACGTTACGCCAAGCAGTTGATTTTAATCGCATTATCTGGCACAGAGTTGACCCACACATACAGGGCTTAAAACACACAGAGCTGCTTTGGGCTGCCACCCCTGCAGTCAGAAGCTGTGCCCCACACAACTGCCCATTGGGACGGGATGATTTTGACTGATACGCTTAGCCTGAGCCGTGGGAAACACAGCTACGAGGCACGAACCACCAGGTATTACAGACCTTTCCAGGCTCGCACTCTGTCCCATCAGCCCAAGGTGTGTGTTGGGTACGACATCCCTTGTGTGCGCCGTCGATGTTAATACACCAAAGTCGCCGACACTGCATCTGCTTAAGTTATTGAAAAGATCAAAATATGAAATAAATATATGCCACATGCCTTACCAGATAGATGAGCCTTTACGAAATTATCCCCTTAGGATTTATCATTAGCTTGACAATAATTTGATGGCTTGCAAGCCTCCCATTCATCCAACCCCAGGAGGCCTTATTTGCCATGGCAATACGCAGAAAACCAAGGTGTGGAATTTCACTTACCATATACGGGCACACTTGAGATCCGGGTCCAAAAATTAACTCACATTGTTTGTTGACGTCATAAATCAGGCCCGGGAGCTGCTGAGGCAACGTGTAAGTTCTTGATGAAGGTTCATCAAGCAAACACTCCCCATAACCAGTGCTACAACGCAAAGCAGAGAAATGGTGTTAAACAGGGGGTGATGCAACTAGAACCCATTGGTGTTTACCTGAGCCAGCCTTAGGACAGACGTGCACCACAGTTGCCATATTAACAAGCACTAGAGCAGCTACTGCAGATCCAAGCGCAGGAGGGTGCGTTACCCATTCACCACCACCCTGGTGCTGTGCTAACGACCGTCCACCACCGTGCAGTCAGCTACCCTGGCAAAAGCACTTCTGAGCATGCGCAACCTGCATTTAGTTGCTGAATAAGCGCTGGTATATATTTAGAAAGAAAATCATCGATTAGCAGAAGCAGAGGGGGACGGAGCTTCTGGATTTGCCAGGACACCATCGTGGCTCTCGTTCTGCTCCCCATCACAATACATGGGAAGGCATCACGGCAAAACGGGTGATCTCTGTATATCAAACTGACCCATGGGCTCCTGGAAGAGTGTTCCCACCATGGACTAGTGCAGGGCTTTATCTTGACCTGTGGAGCAGAAAGGCAGATTCAATCTGCCTCCTAAATCACGGCTCCGCATCTGGGCCACAGGGCTTGAAAAACTCACTCTTCAGGTTCAGAGGAGAACACGCATTCCTTAAAAGCAATATCCATGGGGGAAGACTTATTCTTCCCCATAGAGAAGCCGGTCCTTGCCAGCTTATCACGAGACTGAGGGATGCGTGCACACACAAATCCCTCCCATTTCCTCCAAACACTGCACGCTAGGATTTCACATTCACTGATGAACCCCGTGGGATGCATGGACGTGTAAAAACAGCCTAACACATGCATATGCAAGGCCTTACTCCAGAAATTCGGTGATGTATTTTCTACTGCATTTTGACCACATCCAGGGATTGGTGTAGAAGTTCAGCGTTGGCGCCATGACATGCTGTTGATTTTTACCTCCGTCTTCTTTGCACTTATGATTGTCATCATGTGGCATGTTAAATCTAAGAGAAACACAACAGCAAAAAGCACAGTCAGTTAAGTGGCAAATGTCAAGTATTTAGCACAGCAAGAGCAACAGTGTGAACTAAAGGGAAGCAAACCCAAGAATTTTTCCTAGATATGCTACTGACAGATATTACAGAATAAAAGTATTAATATGCACATATTCATGAGTGTCAACAAGCATTGCTCAAACTGGGTTCCTAGCACTTGTCTGCAAAAAGCCGCGCAGCACCCTGGTAAGCTGTCCACACCACGACTGCATGTATTTAGCCAGACAAGTCCTTGAGGGAGCCTGGAGTAAGATGCAATTTCAGCTGCAGTTTCCTTTGCAGCTGATGGTTACGATCCTGCGGGCAGGCTGGAGTCCGGCCCCACCTTCGTAAAAACGGAATTGAGCCAAAGAGCCAAGTTTCTGAAGGAGAAGAATGACTCGAGCTCACCGACCACCAGTGCCTGAAGTCCCTTGCGTACACCGGCAGCACCCTACGCCGGCTGCAAAATGTCTTCTAATGCCACCCTGATCCTTCACGCTGTTGCCTAAATAGGGCTGCACCGGGGACAGACTTGGCTTCTATACTTTACATGGCAGGTTTACAAAATGCCATCAAGCATCAATATCAGCAGAAACCCACGCGAAGTTTGCAGCACATGACATATTGAAGAATGCGGCAAATACGCTAACGGAGACAGAGTGGCTTAAAGCGCTTTGCCGTTTGAAGTGGAGAAGGGGAAATGACCCGGTGTGATCCTGCGTTCGAAGACTGGGGAGTTTATATCCCATTAAGATTACCTCCAATGAACCACCCTTTCACTCGGCTCCCTGTAAAAGAGCAAAGAGGTGTTTCCTGCTCGGGATCTCCTCTAAACCCCCCGGCAGATCTGCAGCACCATTAGCCACGGAATTAGCCACAGGTTAGGGGTGGGGAACACCAAACCTTCGGGGACTTTCTCTCAGGAAATCTTATTTAAATAAATACTGCTGTGGTTAAAAATAGAGCATCTCACAGCCAGCTCTCTGTGCAAAAAAAAGGGAGTTTTTGAGAGATCTGTTCCCGTGTATTCATCCATCCCACACCTAAGGACCTCCACTGCAAACCAGGAGTGAGGTGGTTTGGGACTGAGCCAGTGAGTAAAGGACTGTGTGACCTAAGACGATTTTTCTCACCACCACTCTGAAAAAAAGTCAAAATCAGTTAGAAGAAATTTCCACTGGAGGAGGTGCATCTTGAATGACAGCATCTCTTCTGGGGATGTCCAGCAGCACGAGATTTTCCTTTGTGAAACGGTTCAGGAGGTGGGTCAGGCTCACTTACACATCCTGACCACTTGCCAGACACCCTGGGTATATTCCTTCCTTCGGCAGCACCACGCATGGCACTGGACGAGCCACAGCAGGCTGAGGACCTGCTCTTGGAGGAGACACTATGGCCAGGTGAGACATGCCCGTGCCCCTCACCCTGGTCCTCCCCGAGGCACCCAGAACCTCCCAGCCCAGGCCAAAAACTGGGCTAGTCCCAGTGGCTTGGCCGAGTCTGCTGGGGCAGATCCTGCTGACATCCACATGCAGATGTGAGAAGATGCAGTAATAAAGGACGTTTTGTTAACTCTCCTCCTTTGCTTAAGTGCTGCTTGGGGTACTCTGTCATTCACCCTCCCCAAAACGTGGGTCTGCTGTTTTTACTGCTCTCAGATGGGCTCTGGAGCACCCCACCGCCTCCCGGAGTCACACCACAACCTAATCTTCCTTGGTGGTGCATCTTCTACACAAGTATATTTATCTCCTCTCAAATAATTAGGTTCAGCAGGTACCAAGCCCTAGTCTGGCTGGCAAGCCCTAGCTAGCATAAATCTTGGGTTATTTAAATGTAAATGTATTTACATAAAACATACACATGGCCAAGTTCATGTGCTATTGTGAAAGCAGTGCTCAGTCCGTTATCTTCACTAATTGAACAGCTCCTGTACGGGTCACAGACTGTGCCCAGCTCTGCCAGACCTAGGAGAGAACAGAGAGAGTTATGATAGAAAAAGAAATGTTGCCCACGGTTCAGCCCAGGCAACTAACATCGTCACTACACAAAAAAGTTATTAAAAGACAAAGAAAAGGTTTTCCTTACCCAGAGTATCACATTTGTCGTGCGCTCTACAAATATCCTGTCTGAAAGCAGAACAGACCTGACACATTAATTTTCAATGCAGCAGTGAGTTATGGCACAAGCACAATAATAACAACATCCAAAAGCAATTCTTGGTCCTCCACCAGATGTTCTCACGCTGGCTGGCCACATGGTCCAGTCGGGGTCTGAACCAACTCCCTACCACAGCCAGAGATTTTCATCTTATGTTGAACCCACGGGCAGACCTTGCACAGTCCTGAACCTCTCAAAGTCATCTACTGGTATGGTGGAAACATTATCCCAGTTCTGCTCACAGTTACACTGCTCCCACAATTGCAAATGTCATTACACCCACATCAAAACCCAAATGTTTCCCATAGCTGTGTACATGACGTGCTCACAGCCTCTGACACATGACCGGCTACAGCTCTCATGAGAATATTCACCATACCTGGTAACGAGCACGGCTGTATCGTGTTGAAGGTGACTTCCTTCAGGGTGGTTCTGGGATTGCTGCCACTGGCAAAAGTTTTTTAACGTTGTCTGGGCATTGTAAGATATTGCAGGACCATCCTAATAAGCGACACAGAGAAAGCAGGTATTTTAATTATTCATTGCAATGCTCACTACAAACGCCAGTGTCAAACAGAAGGAGAAGAAAACCACTTCCATTACCTGTTCATTATGTATCACGACCAATTTCACAATAACGATATTAATTAAATTTCCAATGCTTGGGTCTTTGTAGATAGAAGCCACCTGGTTCAGAAAGAAATATTCAGAATTATTGCTAACGTTGAAGGAAAAAACCAATTAAGGCAACACACGCATGGTTTCCATTTTGCAACTGTTTCTCCTGAGCCACTCTTCTGCCCACACAGTGCTCTGATGCTACTTGGAGAGACCTCCTGCCAGAAGCACAATTTTAGAATGAAACCAAACTGCTGCTGTCGCAGAAAACCAACACTTCCTTTTGCTTTAACACACGTTTCACCAAATTACAGGATCATTCTGCTCTGAGATACAATGACCACCGACCAAGACCGTCAAAAGCAACTTATTCTCTCAAGTGCCTCATTTTGACGTGGACATTTTTAGACCTGCACATTTGCCCTTAAATAGGATGAAAATCCCTCCAGTGACACAACTACGCTGGATGCTCACTTCCAGTCACTAGGCATCCACAGAGCTGCCTGTCTGGGGACTGCACTACTGCATCCTAGTACCAGTAGCTACTAAAATGCTTGGAAAGCCAACCCTAGCAAGATGCTAAGGATCAAGGTGACCACAGGCTCCTCCTCCTTGCAACAGCAAGGGAAGTCGTGCAACTGCATAACCAGTAGGCATCAGTCCCTTGGAAGGCGCAGTCCCCAAAGGACCTTTTTAATTCAGCTGCTATTTCACATGGACGTAAAGAAAAAGAAGAGTACAGCACACGGACTAAAAGGGCAGTGACACTCCTTGTGCTGCCTGGGGTTTCAAAGGTTAGATGGAAGAGGTGTGGGAAGGGTCAGGAAAAGTGATGGGTCTGGGAAGGTGGAAGAATCCAACCGATGTTCCCCAGCCAAGTTTTATCAAGTTTTACTCTAACGCCACCATTATCTCCATGCCTGGCCGAGCCAAACTGAGGATACTGCATAAGGGTGCAACAGCAGAGACACTGTGACCGCTAGAAAATGATTCATGGATGAGTCTACTCCTAGTAGTTGAATACTCACTATTGACATTAACGTTAAGACATAGTGCTGTAAATTAGCGCCATGGTAGGCAACCATCCTGCTGTCAGCCACCACCATCACTTCCACAAACCGAGGGTAGGAAAGAAACCGCTTTGTTCTTCTGTGGCTCTTCTTTTCACTCATGTTCCCAGTCTTGTTGCTATCCGCAGAAAACGAATTCACTTCCAGGCTGTGTTTTAACATCTCCATGTCAGACAATATGCTGCTTTCTGCCCACTGTCTTCTCCAGTGTTTCCGCTTGTTCTTTTTGTGACTGTGTTCGTGATCTGCAATTAAAAAGCAGACAAAAACATAAAGTACATTCTGGAGTGAATAGAGTTAATACCACATGCATGTTATGTCAAAATACCTATTTGCTTCAACCAAGAGGTAGCAGGCTTGCTCCAAACAGCTAACCAAAACATGGAAGCCCACCATGTAATCCAAAACCTAAGGCTTTTCTTAATTTTTAAAGCAATCTTACGGAATCCAATGGCGCTTAAAAGGCGGACATTCACGTAAAGGCTTTCCTGCAGCAGAGCCGTCTCCTTGCCCGCGCAGGAGGGATGGAGCCTGGGCTGCAGTTCCGTTTAACTCGATGTGAGCCCGGTGATGGTAATTAGCCACCGCAGCAGCAGCGTGCGGATTCTGGGCACGTCCAAGGTGGCCAGGAAACCACAGGAAACAAAGGTCCAAATCCTGTATTTCTAACTCAGGCATGAAGGACGGCAGAATTTGGCCTTCATAGCGAAGCAATTATATATGATTTATTTCTGTCTCTAACAATAACATGGCTGGGCTTCAATTCCCCCCCTCCCTTTATTATTCTGTGCTACGGGAATGGTAAAGGTCATCTAATAGCACAGCTGCCACTGGCTAAAGAATAGAATTCAGGAAGTTTCACATATACTGCTTTTGATATTCAATTAGGCCAAACATAAAAGCAGCCTGAAAATATACTCCATGCTGATACAAAGACGACAAAGTGAAGAGGGAGAACAGGCAAATAAAACATATGGAACGTGTACAATTAAGATTTACCATCTGATTAGTATGTAATTATAGCATTATTTAAACGTAAGAGCAAAATCAGTCTTATTTGATGCCACTTAATTTTTAATCAGTTCATCATAGGAAGTAGCTAATTGAATGTGATTCATCCATGAGAGACTGTTCGCTTCTGCATTTAATATAAAGCCAGATCTGAACTACTCATCTAAGACTCCAGGCTACAACCCTCACGCTCTTTGTAGCTTTCGTTTAATTTCGTGGTGGTGGTGAAAAATATCATGTTTCCTTATCTGACCTACTGAGTAGGTTAGAGGAAGCATAATATTAGGGAACAAAGGAATATTCAATGCTCAAACAAGATTGAAAAGATAGGAAACTTCTTAGCTATTTTTCCTGTGTAGTTTCCTTTTAGGATATTTTGTAATCATTTCCAAAAAAAGAAATATAAAATACATTTTCTAATATCAAGACAGGCAAAGGGGTTTGGCCACCTTCTACCCATCTGAGAAATGCTATTTTTTTGCCCTGTGTGTAAGTAGCAATGTAGTATTTAAGAATTAAATTCTGTTTACTCTGCACTACCTAAGTCCTGCGAATTCCCCTTTCTTGATATAGTCCAGACCACCTTAATACAGCAGAGACTCCGCAGTTATTTGAGTAAGAATTCGAGAAAGCCAATGGCATTTGTGGTTATAATTGGATTGCCCTAGTTCCTCTGCACTAATCAATGCCCTTGTGTTGGCAAGGTTGTGCTCTCATGCTGGCACCGCTTCGTGGGCAACTGTGACATTATCCCGACTCGTTCGGTGCCAATCAGCGCGGGAAGCCAACTATGCATACAAATAACTTAAAGGTGAGAGGAAGACCAGATGGAGGAGAAAGTGCTAACCTCAGCCCTTCAGCCAGTTTCCCTCCTCTCTGCCCCCTCAGCCAGTCACTTAAATCTCCTTTTCAAATAACTAACTTCCATGAGAAGCAGGTGCTCAAGGAAAAACGCGTTAAGGATGGGGAGATGCTCAACAGGGCTCGAATGGGGCTGAAGGCAAGGCTGCAGCATGAAGGCAGAGCTCTGCACCATCCACCGCCACGGCTCTGCAAAGCCCCAAACAGGACCACGGGGCTCAGGCGTCTTCTCCTTCAGCCACCCTCAGAGGGAGGTTAGATGGCAAAAGGAGGAGGAAACGCAAAGGATTCTTTGAAGGGGCAACTCTTATACAGGAGATGTTTCAAAGAAGTTAATTGGCATTCACCAGGCTTGCACTGAAATCCTGCAGCCAGCATCGTCACACGCTCCAAAAAAAAAATACCACGCAAAAAACAGAGAGGTCCACACGAAACACCAGGTCTGGTTTGGAGAGCCCCGACCTGACCCACCACACAGGAGAAGCAGAGCCAAACACAGCCAGGTACACCCAGCACAAAAGAAAAACTACCTTCCTTTCTGTTGCAGAGATCTGGCACGGTGTCACAGAATCATTTAGGTTGGAAAAGACCCTTAAGATCATCGAATCCAATCATTAACCTAACACTGCCAAGTGTCGGTACAGTATCGGTGTTCTTCCCCAGTTCAGCACAGAAACTAAGTCAGCCGCATCATCCCTTCAAAAACCAATATTTTTTTTCCAGGTATGAAGTCACTCCAACAATTACTGCATGCTATTTGGACAAGTGGCATATAGTATGTTTGCCAGCCTAGTTACTGTAAAACCACACAAAAGAGAGCGGGGATGCATTGCATGTAAAGCCAGTCCCGGACTTTGATAGTAGCGAACTGTTATCTTCGCCCATCGTTCTCGCGTCTAACTACACTCAGAGATGGCGCACATGCACCTGTAAAAAATTAAATGCTAATGGCAGTGCCCCGCTCTCAACCCATCCATAAAACCCCCACCGGCGTTAAGGGAAGTTGCACACAGGGACTGCCGGTACTCCCTGTGCCTGATGCTGCTGATATCTCGCTTGCTCCGTTACGACGGACGCAACAGAAACGCTCTGACTGAATGGCGCAGCGTACTGCCGTTTAATCAAGCAGAAGTGAAAAATCTCTCCCATTACACAAGAAAACTGCAATTTTACAGCAACAGCTTCCTACTGCCACACACAACACCAAAAAAGGGTCTGGTATTTTTCCACCTGGTTTTGCCTTTTTTTTTTTCTCCTCCTATCATGTTAATACACTAACAAAAATCAGTAAGGAAAATGGTTTGCTTGGCAAGCTCTCACTCGTTGCAAATGACCTGAAAAACATCTACCTACACACGGCAGTAATTGGATAGATTTGAGTAACAAAACATTTTCTTTAATTTGCAGAAAAAACCAAACCCCAATGAGTAGACAAAAACTTTCAAACCACACAAACCCCAGATCAATAATTCAAGTACCAGGAGAGCCCATGCACTGACACAACAGTTAATATTAATTTAAGAGGTGGCTAAAAGGCTGCTGGAAAAATGTCCATTCTACTGCTTGCTTTACTAAGACAGTGTTTGCACTGTCTTTAGACAGACCTTGAGGTGTATACTCATTTTTTTTCCCCGCTTGGTTTCTTCTTTGTTATGTGCGACTTAAAAAGGAGACCCAATCCTGTGACAGGGATATTCCCTCCCGATGGTGTCTTCCCATCCGTGCCATTTATTTTAGTTTGCACAAGAAGCCTCAACCCAGAGCCCATTGAGCTGATTTATGGATGATTCCTGTCGATTAATGGACTTTGGATCTATCCCAAGGGAGAGAGCAGGGGAGACTCAGGCCC